CGTGTTGACGTATTTCATGGCCGCGTGCATGCCGATGACCTCATTCTGCTCCTCCAGGCTCTTCCCTGGCACGGCGTAGCGGGTCTCCAGGATGTGCCTGATCTCTGAGAGGGTGAGCGTGTTGCCCTCGATGGCCACCGTGTGGTAGATGTGGTGGTAGTACGTCTCCTGCGTGACACGGCGCAGCGCCGAGTTGCCCTTGGGGATGGACATGACCTTCTTCACCTTGCCGTCGATGACGCTGAAGTAGCGCTGGTCAATCTCCTCCACCAGCGGCAGCGTGCGGTCGCGGTTGACCAGCGCCGCCTTGTGGTGGGGCGCGATGCTCAGTGCTCTGGTGTACAGGTAGTCAGCCTGGATGATGTCCCTGTCCTCTTCCGAGAAGATGCCGAACTCATTGAGCGCGTCCACGAAGCCCGGGTCCATGTTGAGGGCGTGCAGGAAGAGCTTGTGGGCTTTCTCCCGCTTGCCCTGGCGTTTCATTTCCAGGGCTTGGTTCAAAGCTGCTTTGGCTTCTAACTTGCTGGCTAGAAAAGAGTCAAAGAGGCGTGGGTCAGGGAGGGGCAGAGGACGTTCAGGGGTGGCGTCACCCCTGACAGCTGGTCTCCTCAGGGGGTTCTATCCAGCCATGTTGTACATGCCCTTCCCATACCTGTATGTGCAGACAGGTTTGTTCCCTACAGCCCAGTGGGGCCCTCTGCTGGTCCCTGTCCACTCAGCCCCAGAGCCATTCTCTACCGTGGGGGCGGCAGCCAGCGGCTCCCCGGCCCCCTCCTCTGACCTGCCGTCGTTGAGTGGCTGTGTTCTACAGCCGCAGCTCCTATCAGGCGGCCCTCCCCTACCTCTGCTCCAGCTGGCAGCCGTTCTGGTGATTTCTTCTGGAGGTGCGGGTCCCTTCTTCCCCCTACTTCCACCCCTGCCCCTTTAGGCCCTGGCCGTGAAAGGCTCCTCACTGCTGCTAGACCCTGGGGGGGGGTCTCCTCATCCCTGGGCCTTGTAAAAATTCTTTTAATCTAATGGTTCTCAACTGGACCCTGCTGTACCTCTGGCCCTTTTCTGCTGGCCCTCCCACCCCCAGTGCCAGCCACACCTCCTAGACTTCTTTTAGTTCCTCAAGTGCCCAGGGCTCTCCTACCTTGTGGTCTCTGCCTGGAACCCTCTCCCCTCAAACCTTTTTCCCTTGGGTCTCTCCTCAGGCGTCCTCTCCTCCAGGGAGCCTTCCTGGTGTGCTCCTACGGCTCCCTCTGCTTCCATATCACCACATGTATCTCAGCCACCTATCACCTTGTCTGGCTAGGAGCTCAGGGCTGACCCTGTGCCCCGCACACACGACATAGCTGGCCCTCTAAAATACCTGTGGGATTAGAGAGCGTCGAGGCGAGATGGCCAGTCTTACCTGCAGAGGCCTTGGTCTTGACCACCAGCGGTGCTGCATCCCTGGAGGTGACACTGAGCTCCGTGGAGGTGCTGGTGCACTTGGTGACAGCAGGCTGGGCCCTGTCCAACTTGCTCCTGAGCAGGTAGAAGCCTTTGAGCACAGCCAGACACTGCTCCTCCATGGCCCCCAGCGGCAGCAGCAGGGCCATCAGGGAGCCCAGCACCATGCTCAGCAGCATCACCCACAGGAAGCGGCCCCAGACTGAGACCCATTTTGGTTCAGTCACCGCCATCACTGAAGCCAT